AGAGGAAGCCGAAATGTTGGACGGTCTTGCGGTTTTGGTGACACTACTACGGGGACAGCGCAGCAAGTTATCTGACCGGGTTGGTTTGCCGCCCCTGGATTAAATTTTGAAGCCATGAAGAGGCATCTGGGGAAGAGTCTGCTGCCACGCTGCTGGACGCAGGATTTTCTCAATTCTTAAAAAAGTCGTTGATGAACGTTCACCTGACCGCTGACGGGACTCATCTGTCCCGCTCTGCCTTGAGCCTTGACAGAGGCCCTGAACGTTCATCAAGGAGTGTCAATATCCTCTGGCCTAAACCGGCTAGACAACGACCTCGTGACTTAATGGTTAGGGCGTTTGACTCTGATCAAAAGGTCTCGAGTTCGAGCCTCGAGTGATGCACCACTTGGTTCTGGCTATGACTGGGTGACCGCGGCTAATAAGCCAGAAATGGCCATTCCAGTCTCCTATCTTCTTGCCGGCCATCCGATTTATCTTAGGTAAGTGCCTATGGACCGGCGCGACATCTCCATAACCGCAAAGAACCGCGTACTCCAGCTATCGTGCAGTCAGCCCTCCTATAGCATTTTGAACGCTGGACTGTCTGAATGGAAGTGGAACAATTGAAGTTAATCGACTTCTTCCCAAACTAGCAGTCTCCACTTACCACGACATCGCTTTGACACCATTCAAGAAACATGGCTGAGGTGGTTTCGGTACCTCCTGTATTTTCCGCTTTATAAGCTCAGGGTTGTTGTCCCCTATCCAGAACCCTTGCCAACGTAGAGGTTTCGAATAAGCGGCCAACTCCAAACGTGTCTCTACATAGTTTGCCCACATATGGGACTGATGCTCGCATATTCTGTACTCAGCTTTGTCGCTGGAAGGGAGGATGGTTCGGCGTCTTTCCCAGAACTGCAGCCACAAATCGTCACACGCGAAGAGGTAAAACTCACGAAACCATCGAGACTCTGCAAATCAAGGATGACCGCAACTGACCCGAACATAAGGAAATGTTTTAAAGACCGTACTAGTATCCGTTTCCCCTGTTGGACGGTTGCACCTCGTGAGGAGTAATTTACCAGACGCGACCATTGTCCCTTTTCCCTTCGTTAACTTCCAGAATTGTCCATAAGAAGCGCTTTATCTAGCTTTTTTTCGTCCGCCTCTTGACGACTACTTTGACTTAAGGACACGCAGAGACATAGTTGGTCAGGTTAAGGTTTGGGGG